TAAGTACCAATACAGAAAAAAAAAAAAGTAATATAATAATGTGGTTGTTATATATGTACACACCTATATAAAATCAGATGAAGGCTTCTACTTTCTTTAGGTGCTTCAGAGCATCCTAGGCTCTGAATTCTTAACATTTAGAAAAATTAACCCTTGGAAGAAAAATTTGGGTGTTTTAGGAATGGAGAGAGAGAGCATGTATATTTTTTTCTCCTTTGAAGCATGAGCTCTTGTTGGAATGGTTTCTTTTTTGTTCAGTGGGGAAGACCAATTGTAGGGGCTGCATGCTGTTACCATGTGTAAGGTAAAAGGGGATGTAAGCACCATGTTCTTATTCTCCCTTAGAGTCTGCTATTTTTCCACCTATCATTGCACCGAGAGGATATGACAAAGTAGACACATCAGCTACTTATATGAAATAAAATGTATTGACTTCTTTGACACGGCAGAATTTTAACCAGGTGCATATCAAAATTATGTTTCCATGTGTTTCAAGCTAATTTCTGTGACTCTCAGTTTAGTTGACTGACCAATCTAGAGCCCAGAGATGAGTTTGTCTGTCTAAAAGTCCAGTTCGCATATTGAGGATTCCAGAAAAGTTCTGCACTCACAGTGCCAAATGGCCTGATTAAATACGTAAATGTTTCTTCAAAAATGCATTATGCTCAAATAGTTAAGGTGCACAGCTGTTTGAGAAGTCTGCTGTTTTTTTTGTGCAGCATTTTGCAAGGCTGCTGTGCCTTGGATAGCTGTCTCTGTATCTCTTGGCAAGGCAGTACCTGTGTATTTCCCTCTTTGTTGGCTACCTCATTTCATTTAATGTTTTCTTTTCCTCCTGGTGGGAAGGAGAGGCAGGTGCCTCTTAAAATTATTTCACAGCAAACCTTCCTCAGTTCTTGTTGCCTGTTTCATGTAGAAGGGTTGATTTGTAGCTGCTGTCTTTCTCTTCCCAATAAACCTTGTGGGTGGTGAAGATCTCAGGGAGTGAAACATTAAAAATGAATGAAGAGAACTGGAGTAGTTTGTCTAAGGCGGGGGTTGAGAGGGGCTGGGTGGAGGAGGTTTAACAAAAGGCATTGATGTTTTAAATGCACAGAAGTGCCATCTATCAATAATAAATGGTGTGGCAAAGAACAGATGTGCCAAATTGAATTATGACAGAATACAGATTAGTCATAGAGGGGGAAAGTAAGCAGTATAGCTAGCATTTTTAAATTATCTATATGTGAGCTTTTGAATACAATTTTGAATATTCATTTTTTATGTTCTAATGGCTGCTAGCTGGAAATATTAAAAGGTTGGTGTTTTTTTTGTTTGTTTTTTTTTTTTTTTTTTTTGATACAGAGTTTCGCTCTTGTTACCCAGGCTGGAGTGCAATGGCGCGATCTCGGCTCACCGCAACCTCCGCCTCCTGGGTTCAGGCAATTCTCCTGCCTCAGCCTCCCAAGTAGCTGGGATTACTGGCACACACCACTGTGCCCAGCTAATTTTTTTGTATTTTTAGTAGAGACAGGGTTTCACCATATTGACCAGGATGGTCTTGATCTCTCAACCTCGTGATCCACCCGCCTTGGCCTCCCAAAGTGCTGGGATTACAGGCTTGAGCCACCGCGCCTGGCCGGTGTTTTTTTTTTAAATTCAAATTAAATTGTGCTTTGCTCTAAAGTAAGAATTAAAAATGAATAAATTTTGCTTTTCTGAAGAGAAAGTCTGAAAATGAATTTCTTGCCCTTCATTGACTGAGTGCTTGCTTTTTAAAAGCTCGTGTTGTAACTGTTATGAGGAATGAAATTGCATGATAAAACTTAAGTCATGTGAAACTATTACGCAGTGTTTTCTACATTTACATTGATTATATCTCTAGGTACCTGTTCAGTGCATACTTAAACTGCAGGGGACTACTCAGGAAACCCACTCATGCTTTGCAATCAGTTCCTCACCCTCAGCATTTTGATTCAAGGGATAATTCTACACATATGCTCTGTGTGAGAATTACCTTGCTCAGTAGGGAAGCAACAAGAGAAATATCTGCTTGTCTCAGAGAAAATCACTATGAGTAAATTGGAAAGACATCTGTTAGGTTAACTAGAATATTTTGTAGGTGTAGATACTAGAGGAGAAGTCAGGTTTTGTTTTGAGCTTCTAGATAGGTAGGAGTTACGTTAATGTCACTGGCATAGCAGAAGACAATAATGTGGGAGGTATTTGAAATGAGTCCTGGAGTTCCTGAGTTGGAACTGACACACTTAATGCAAAAAACAGCCTTGGTGAGACATATGGAACTATTCCACCCATCTCAATATGGACCCTGGCTTGCTCTTTGAAAACTTTGTGGAATGGGGTATCTTTGCTTTGTTGGCCCAACACAAGTAAATCCTCTTTGTTTTTCCTAAGGTGAACAAAATAGCGGTCAGTTCTTGCAAGTAATATCAGGTTGGCTTAAATTTTAGGTTTGTGAGACTAGAAAGACAAGTTACTTAGCTGTTATTGAAGAGTTTGTTTAATCTTTGAGTGGATGTTACAGGTGAAAATGAGCATAGTGATTGTATAAAGTCTATTGCTAACTCTTATTTTAACCATCTGTATTGTTAACTTTCAACTTTTTCAGGTGCAAAATTTTCTTGAATCAATCTTTTCATCTCCAAGGGACCCCAGCATGCCTTAAAGAAAAAAACGCTTGTCAACTGATTTTAGAGCCACCAAATAAATCTATTTTATGGTCCCGTTAGATATCTAACTCAAAACCCCCATTCACTCTGAAAGGTCCTATGGTTGGATGCACAACAAATTTCCTGAAATCAAGTTGTGGCTCAGGGTAATTGGGAAGGGAGACAACCCAGCATTTTCATAGTACATTGTCTGGTTTTTAGTTGCAGCTGCAAACAACGGATATGAATTTAACCAGTGTTGCTACAGTGCAGCTGGTTCAGATCTGGCTTTATAACTGGCTGAAGTAAAATGAAATGGCTGGAAAATTCCAGTCAAGTAACACGAGTGGGAACATGTGGAATTAAATAGTGTGAGCAAATGCTGGCTGAGTTGGGGAAAACTTCAGACATAAACTTGAGGGTTGGGGCGGGGGGCATTTTCTGGCCTTTTTCACAAGGGTCTATTGTTTTGATTAGTCTTCTTGCAGGAGGTAGAAGTTTTCCTCCATCCACAGTAATTCATAGGGTGTTTGGCTTGTCTACCTTCCTCCTGACTGAAGTCACCTAATACTTTTTGTTTTTTCAAGAAGAAACAATTCTGTTGCCTCAGTTACTAGCCATGATACAAATTTCAAAATGTAGTCTTATTTTTTTCTTTGAAATAGTTTCTCCATCTTGTGTGACACAGCAGCCCCTGTCTTCAGCTATCTTCCCTCTACCACCTGTCCCAGAGATGTTGGACATGTTGGAGGTGAAGGTGTACAAGGTTTTTAAATAACTGTTCTAATTAAAGGATTCTGCAGGAAAGAACATGGGTTTACAAAAGAGAGGCTTTTGTATTATTCGATTTTTTTTTTCTTTGATGAACTTATGTGCCTAGTGTGGAGAATTGAGAGTTGTCTGGGAAAAGGTTTCTGAGGAGTTAAGGGACTATGATGCTGTTTGGGAAAACATTTGCTGTAACTAGGTTTAGGGTATTTAGTCTCTGCCAGCGCTTAGGAGCCGTATTTGCCAGGTGATTTCCCTGTTGGAAGGATTAGCCAGTGGTGTGAAACATTTGATTAAGGGACAAATAGAAATCTTTCCTGGGGCACATGAGTGGTGGCTGTTACTGGGGTGCCCTCTCCTCAACTCTTTCTCTATTTCTAATGAGTAAGTTTATAGCGGTGAGTCATAGGATATGGTTTTTCAGTCCTATGAAGAATCTTTGTAGAAAGAAAAGTTGTTTTAATTAATTGCTAATTAAGCCCCTTAAAGTTTCTGCATAATAACTTAGCAAGGAACCTTTTTCTGGCTGGGCGCAGTGGCTCACACCTGTAATCCCAGCACACTGGGAGGCCGAAGCAGATGGATCACAAGGTCAGGAGATCAACACCATGCTGGCTAATATGGAGAAACCCCATGTCTACTAAGATACAAAAAGTTAGCGGGGCATGGTGGCATGTGCCAGTAGTCCCAGCTACTGGGGAGGCTAAGGCAGGAGAATCGCTTGAAACCAGGAGGTGGAGGTTGCAGTGAGCCAAGGTCACACCACTGAACTCCAGCCTGGGTGACAGAATGAGACGCCATCTCAAAAAAAAAAGAGATGAACCCTTTTCTTTTCTCAGAGAAAAAGAAAAGTTGCCGTGACTTACCAACTTTGGAAGGAGACAAGATATACATTATCAATAAAAATTGCACATAATCTGGCCTGGCTTGGTGGCTCATGCCTATAATCCCAGCACTTTGAGGGATGACAGTGGGAGTATCGCTTGAGGCCAGGAGTTCAAGGCCTGCCTGGGCCACATAGCACAGAACCCCCACCTTTTGTTGCTCCCCCACCACCAACCCTGTCACTACACAGTTTTTTGAATCAGCCAGTCATGGTGGCATATGCCCAGTCCTATGTATTCAGGAGGCTGAGATTAGAAAGTTCTTTGAGCCCAGGAGTTGAATGTTGCAGTGAGCTATGAATGTGCCACTGCACTCCACCCTAGGTAAGAGAGTGTGACCCTGTCACTTTAAAAAAGAAAAGGCTATATTCCAATAGCAACACTGCTCTCTTGCTTGCTCGCTCACGCGCTCTCTCTCTCTCTCTCTCTCTCTCTCTCTCTCTCTCTCTCTCTCTCTCTGGAAAGTAAAAGTATTTTCTTCATGCACATTCCCTGGATTTATGTTAAATTTTAATTCTAAATATATGGGACTTTATAAAATATTTTCTGAAAGTGATGTCATTTTTGAGGTGCTAGCATTTGGGTCCATTTTGGAAATTCTGCCTTAACTTCAAAATTAAGGGGAGCTCTTGCTGTAGAGGGTTGTCCCATTCTGCTTCCCTCCCATTCTCTTAAACCTTGTACATGTTCCTTCCTACAGATCACCATTATCTTCAAAGCCCACCATGAGTGTACAGATCAGAAAGTCTACCAGGCTGTGACAGATGACCTGCCAGCCGCCTTTGTGGATGGCACCACCAGTGGTGGGGACGGCGATGCCAAGAGCCTGCGGATCGTGGAGAGGGAGAGTGGTCACTATGTGGAGATGCATGCCCGCTATATAGGGACCACAGTGTTTGTGCGGCAGGTGGGTCGCTACCTGACCCTTGCTATCCGTATGCCTGAGGACCTGGCCATGTCCTACGAGGAGAGCCAGGACCTGCAGCTGTGCATGAACGGCTGCCCCGTGAGTGAACGCATCGATGATGGGCAGGGCCAGGTGTCTGCCATCCTGGGACATAGCCTGCCTCGAACCTCCTTGGTGCAGGCCTGGCCTGGCTACACCCTGGAGACTGCCAACACTCAATGTCATGAGAAGATGCCAGTGAAGGACATCTATTTCCAGTCCTGTGTCTTCGACCTGCTCACAACTGGTGATGCCAACTTTACCGCTGCAGCCCACAGTGCCTTGGAGGACGTGGAGGCACTGCACCCAAGGAAGGAACGCTGGCACATTTTCCCCAGCAGTGGCAATGGGACTCCTCGTGGAGGCAGCAATTTGTCTGTCAGTCTAGGACTCACATGCTTGATCCTTATCGTGTTTTTGTAGGGGTTGTCTTTTGTTTTGGTTTTTTATTTTTTGTCTATAACAAAATTTTAAAATATATATTGTCATAATATATTGAGTAAAAGAGTATATATGTATATACCATGTATATGACAGGACGTTTGTCCTGGGACACCCACCAGATTGTACATAATTGTGTTCGGCTGTTTTCACATAATGTTGGATGTAGTGTTCTTTGATTGTATCAATTTTGTTTTGCAGTTTTGTGAAATGTTTTATAATGTCCCTGCCTAGGGGCCTGTTAGAAAGCACTTTATTTTTTATATATTAAATATTTATGTGTATACTTGGTTAATATGTATAGTACATATACACAGACACCCATACGCAGCATTTCCTTTGACGGTGACTTGTTGTTTGTATCTATTCTTGGCTGTACCCTCCTGCCCTTTCCCATTGCTACTGATTTGCCACGGTGTGCAGCTTTTACTTGCCACCTTCGGGAGCTGCCTCGTTCCTTTGAACTATGTTTTTACCTTTCTGCCCTCACTTTGAAAGGATCATTAACTCCCCCTTACAGGTGCTCTGACTCTTAAACACTGATGTGAAGAAGCTCTCTTCCTAACAACTGTTACTTTTTCAGGAGGGGGGTATTAATACTATACTGATTACTCTCAATTCTAATTGTTGTATATTTGAGCCCACATGGTGTATTAGGTTGAACCATAACAACTGCTGTACTTGTAGGTAAAAAGGGTCTAGTGATTGCAGTTTCATAGACAAGTTCCAGGCATCTTGCTAGACCTCAGTAACTCCCAGACTTTTTCTCATCCCATACACCTCTTCTTTTTTTTTTTTTTTTTTTTTTTTTGAGACAGAGTCTTGCTCTGTCACCAGGCTGGAGTGCAGTGGCACAATCTCAGCTCACTGCAACCTCTGCCTCCTGGGTTCAAGTGATTCTTCCACATCAGCCTCCCAAGTAGCTGGGACCACAGGTGCATGCCACCACACCTGGCTAATTTTTTTGTAATTTTAGTAGAGACGGGGTTTCACCATTTTGGCCAGGATGGTCTTGATCTCTTGACCTTGTGATCCACCCGCCTCAGCCTCCCAAACTACTGGGATTACAGGGTGAGCCACTGCGCCTGGCCCCCAGGCCCCTTTTTAAATTACAGTTTTCCCTAATTCTTCTGTGTTAAAACATGAAACTATAAATTTAGTCATCATTACGCCTTGCTCTTTTTTTAATCTATATGACGAGCAAGCACCTGTTCTTAACGTTTTCTTGGCTGTTGAGCCCAGAAACTCACAGCTCTTTTTCCACTTCCAGGAAGCCCTCCTCAACCTCACCTTATGAATCTAAAGTACTGGGGTTTGTTAGGTTCTTTCTCTAATGTACAGGCCCAGATTCCATGACAAAGTTTTCCATTCTTCCTTGTCGTCCATACCATGATCTTCATCGCAGTCTTTGATGTGTCTGCACGCAAAGTGGAACGGAGTGGGGCGGCAATGACAGAAAATCTTGCTTGGCCTGACTCAGTGTGCGGCCAGTTCGGTACTGCTTAATCCAGGTATTTATGTTAACCAAGCATTGTGCTCCCCAGGTGGTCTCTGAAGTCAGGTACTCTCCCTCTTAACACCTATAGTTGAGTATGATTTAGTCAGCTGCTCATTGTAATGGAGAATTCCTATAAAGTAAGATCTCTCCTTGCCTCTTCCATTGTTGGCATCTCCTTGCAAAAGGAAAAGAACAGCAGAAGGCAGGAGCAGTTAACTGAGAAAGTTAACTCCAGGATAGGTAGGTTTCTATTGTTATATTTAGATGTACATCTTTGGTTCCAAGAAGAAGTGGTGCCGTTTGTACTTTAATAATTTATTGATAAGTTTACATAAATGGAAATAAAAGATATGAACTTTAAATACCGTAGTAGTTTAGGCCAAGATTATGCTTAGTTTTAGTTCTCCAGGTAATTACTTTTGCCGTGTCCTGTTGATCAGTGACTGTCAGAGGCCCAGACTGGCAGGAGAAAGATGTCATTTTGTAAAGTTTTAGATGTGCCATCCAGTAACAGAGTGGAGATGTGGATGGTGACAAACCTCTACCTTGCGTTTATAAGAGAATAACCTTGGAGAGTCTGGGAAAATAAGGAAGGCACTCTGCTTCTTACTCATAGAAATTCAACTGCAGAGTTGAAACCTAAGCCCACCTTCCTTTTATAGAAGTTGTATTACCATCAGCTCTGAACTGTGGCTTTTTTGTTCACCTATGGAGCCATATACATATTCAGAAGCTATTGTTAATTAATAATGTTTTATGATTGAGTAGTACAAGCGAGGAAAAATACTGAGGATACTTTAACCACTATTTTTGTGCAAATAGTATGAAAGTGAAGTAAAAGTAATAGAAGAAATTTCTATAGGATCTGGGTTTAAGAGTGTAAATGATTAATAAAATATACCTTTGCTCTTTTCAGGGAAAATAACCACCCTTACTGATAGTTGGGAAAAGAAGACTGGGTTATTTTGCCATATCATTTAGCTGAAAGGGATGCTTAAAAGCACTCTGCATCGCTAGTAATGGTGTATTTTGCTATTCTCCCGTTATAATTAGTGATCCTGTAAAACAGTTCCCACAGATTACTTTCAGAAGTACACGTATTTCTCTACCAAAGGGCCAGGTTTATTTTCTCGCTTTCTGAGATTTCTAGAGAAAATACTGCTTGCACATGTTGGTTCTTGAAACCTTAGCTAGAAGAGTTTCAGGTCATACCAACACGTGGATAGGCTGAAGCTGTTCAAAGGTCTCCTGAGGGAGCTTAAAATGGGGGAGAACACTGGCTTTCACAGATGCTCCACATGGCTGTCTTTAAAAGACTCGAAACTTTTTTTGTCCTCTTTGTTATGCTTGGAAACCCCCTCCATAGTGTGTCGTCTTTGCAAAGAAACCTTTAGATGTGGTTCATAGATATATGAATACGTATCTGTGTAAACAGTGAGTGTGCAGTGTGTAAATACTTTAAATTATTATGCTAGAAAAATAAAGTTACATACCATGCTGTGGAATGTTTGTTCTGTGATTATAGCGACACCTGCTGGAAGAACTGAGAGCTGCAGTAGAAAGGGAGCCTCGGGAGGGGAAATTGTATAAAATCCATAAAAGTAACTGACAGTAAGTCATACCACCTGCCCACAAATTCACTTACTTTCTAAACTATAGCACTACTGTCATTTTTTTCTTTTTAAATCTTAAGCAGTTACAAATCAGTATCTGTGAGACTGGTCCACTAGGATTGTCCCAAAGTTCTGTCTTTAGTGACAGTTTTGGTCCCGTGAAGATAAGCAGCCTGCACGCAAATTCTTTTTAAGGCAACGTGAACTCTAACGACTTACTTCTGGTGGGGAAGATTTGAGAGGGCAGGATTATCCGGCTTGAAAACATAAATCCTCACTTCTTGGGTTTAAAAAAAAGACATCAAGAAATCACAAGTTGGTCTTTGTTCAAGAAACACACCAAAGGGTAGAAAAGTTAGAAAAATAACTGAAACTAAGGCACAGGAAAGCACTGTTACTAGGTAGAATACTAAATGGATCAAATTCTGATTAGGGGGTAAACATACATGTAATCATTTCTTTTTCTTTTTCTTTTTTTGAGATGGGGGTCTCACTCTGTCACCCAGGCTGGAGTGCAGTGGCATGATCTCAGCTCACTGCAGCCTTGACTTTCTGGGTTCAAGTGATGCATCCGGTACTACAGATGCATGCCACCACGCCCAGCTAATTTTTGTGGGTTTTTTTTTTTTTTTTATATAGAGACTGAAGAGGGTTTCGCCTTGTTGCCCAGGTTGGCCTCAAACTCCTGGACTCAAGCAATCTGCCCACCTCAGCCTCCCAAAGTGCTGGGATTACAGGCATGAGCCACCACACCTGCTATAATCATTTCTTAAATAAAAAAGCTTAACCACTGCACTTGGTATTTACATGTAGCAGTTCAGAGCAAAAACAAACAAACAAAAAAAAACGAGAGAGAATCATGTCAACTGAACCACATAAAATAGGATGAAGTGACATCATCACTGAGTACCCAGTGACGTGTCTGTACTGAATAAATGCAAATAATCTATAGCACATTCATTGTGATGTAGTCACAATGAATGTGCTATAGATTGGCTTTTTTTTTCTTTTTTCTTTTCTTAACATTCTTGGAGTATAGATTATTTGACTTTTATGCTTAAAGGTCAAAAATAATTCTTTACTGTTCTCTCATCATTCCCAGACCTCCAGCTGTTTGGGAACTGAAGCTTTAACTCCAAAATCCCAATGGCGATATCAACCCTGAGTCCTGTTAGTTATCTGATTTATTTCTTATCTTGTTTATTTTTAATTTTGTAGTATTGGCAGCATTCTATTGTCTGGAATTAGCTGGGGTAACAGAGTCTTGTATCGCTGCTGTCCTTTCTGAGCAAAGATACCTTGCTGCAGATTTTCTCCCAGTTCTATTTGTATGTGAACCAAAGAATGTCTCCCCTACAGAGAAGTAATTAAGAAGCAGTTCAAAGTTCTTTATTATTTTACTACCTAACTCACCATAGTGTTTCTTTCTGCTTCTATCCCTTTTCTGTATGTCTTCCAAATGGACAAGTCACATGCACGCAATTGTTATTTAGATGGTATTTTCCTTTAAATTTACTGCTCCTTGGCTGGGCATGGTGGCTCATACCTATAATCCCAGCACTTTGGGAGGTCGAGGCAGGCACATCACTTGAGGTCAGGAGTTAAAGACTAGGCTGGCCAACATGGTGAAATTCCCATCTCTACTAAAAATACAAATATTAGCTACGCGTGGTGGTGCATAAGTGTAATCCCACCTACATGGGAGGCTGAAGCAGGAGAATCGCTTGAACCCAGCAGGAAGAGGTTGCAGTGAGCTGAGATCATGCCACTGCACTCCAGCATGGGTGACAGAGCGAGACTTTTAAAAATATATACTGCCCTTCTTCCTCCAAGTAACTGTAATAAGCATGCCATTTGACACTATCAACTAAATAATAGAATACGCTGTCCTTTGTATCCAAAAGATTATGTCCTGGCTCCCTGCCAGTGAAATATGTGCTTGAAATGGTGATGTCTTTGTGTCTCACCTTCCTTAAGATCACGCTATAGATTTACGAGAAGACTGGGGCATCCAGCGTCCAGCAGGATATACTAACATTCTGTAAAACCAGAATGTGTGCCCTCAGCCTTCTTGGAATAAGGTTAAACCAATTGAGTAAACCGGTCCTGCCAGCTGCAATGTAATAAAGTAGGTCTAGCAAACTTCAGCAGGAAGAAAGCAACAGGACAATGTTTTCTGAGTTCTTCACAGGCTCTATTTCTATGGCCCAGTTTTTATTTCATTAATGAAAATTCCAACCCCAGAAGAGAAAAAAAGCATTCTGCTACCAGACTGAATATACAAGACCTAGCCACAGATGAATTAACCAAGTAGGAATTGCACCTGCCATAGATGACATTTTCAGAAAATAACATTATCTCAATCAATAATGTAACACCGCCAAGGGAAATGGTGCTATTTGATAACCCAGAGGGTTTCCAAAGCCTTCTAACAGGAAGAAGTAAGGTGGGATTCACTGAAGGGGGAGACAGAGGGGGACAATAAATTTTTTTTCTAGTGAGACCTTCTTTTGAGCTGCTAAATAGCAATGCCACTAATGCAGTGTTGGTCATCAGCACAGTGAGGACTGTGGATTGAGTTATTGATTGGCTCACCCTAAGTGCAAGGGAGAGATTCTGGGCCTGAGTCAGCTCATGAATGTTCATCTTCCCTCTTGGGAAGGAAAAGGAAAAACGGGTGAAACAACTTGAGGCAGCACACAATACAAGATCCTCAGCATCCTGTCAAATTGGAAATCTGGATGATATTTGGAGGTTGGGAAAGTTATCTGGGGTGCTGGGGGGAAGGGTGGCAACAGGACAGAAGGAGCTCACAAAGCAAAATAACAAGTACAGAATGCATTCTGGTTACATTTGGAGCTGCAGACCATTATGAAAGATTCATTTGTGCATGGATATTTATTGTATGTATTCTACCTTGAGGCAGTATACAATAGTGGTCAAGATTATGGGCTGTGGAGTAGACAGTTCTGAGTTTAAATCCACTTATTTTGCTAATTGTGTGGCCTTAGATGTGCCAAGCTGTACTTAGGCTTCAGTTTCCTCATCTTTATAATGGGAATTCTTAAAGAACTTAACACCTCCAACATTCATGGTGAGGTTTAATTTGTTGCATTTTTTAAATTATTACACTTTAAATCCTGGGGTACATGTGCTGAATGTGCAAGTTTGTTACATAGGTATACACGTGCCATGATGGTTTGCTGCATCCATCTCCTTGTCATCTACATTAGGTATTTCTCCTAATGCTATCCCTCTCCTAGTCCCCCAACCCCTGCTTTTCCTCTCCCATCCCCCAACAGGCCCCTGTGTGTGATGTTCCTCTCCCTGTGTCCATGGGTTCTCGTTGTTCAGCTGCCACTTATGAGTCAGAACATGCGGTGTTTGGTTTCCTGTTCTTTTTTTTTTTTTTTTAGCAATAGCCAAATTTACTATAATTTTTATTTTTCTTTAAGTTGATTGACTTTTTTCAAATCCAGATGTTTTAAATCACAACTTCCTTGCAGGTGTCAGGTACAAATTGATTGACTTGTCTTTCAATTGACAACTTGTCATTTTATAAGGAATACCACCCATGAACTATTAAGTTTGATGTGATAGTTATTATATTTCTTCCCAAGACATATTTTATTATGTATATAAGTAGTACACATTTAAAAGTAGTGCTCCTCAGAATCTCCTTTTATTCTACCAGTAACATATATAAGAAATATATAAAAATGCTGAAATTAATGAGTCCAACTCAAGAAGTTATAAAAGAACAATTAGTAATCTAATGGAAGTAGAAAGAGAAAATAATAAAGAGCAAAATGAACAAAACAGGAAAACATAGAAAGAAATGACTAAAATAGTTGGTTTTTTGAAAAAAGCAATAAAATAGGCAATCCTTAGGCAATATTTTTTTATTGTACTTTAGGTTCTGGGGTACATGTGCAGATCAGGCAGGATTGTTGCACAGGTACACACATGGCAATGTGATTTGCTGCCTCTATCTCCCATCACCTACATCTGGCATTTCTCCCCATGTTATCTCTCCCCAACCTGCCCTCCCATTTTCCTTCCCCTAGCCCCCACCAACAGACTACAGTATGTGATGCTCCCCTCCCTGTGTCCATGTGTTCTCATTGTTCAACACCCACCTATGAGTGAGAACATGCGGTGTGTGATTCTCTGTTCTTGTGTCAGTTTGCTGAGAATGATGGTTTCCAGATTCACCCATGTCCCTACAAAAGACAGGAACTCATTTTTTATGGCTGCATAGTATTCTATGGTGTATATGTTCCACATTTTCCCTGTCCAGTCTATCAATGATGGGCATTTGGGTTGGTTCCAGGTTTTTGCTATTGTAAACAGTGCTGCAATGAACACATGTGTGCATGTGTCTTTATAATAGAATGATTTATAATCCTTTGGGTATATACCCAGCAATGGGATTGCTGGGTCAAATGGAATTAGTTTGCTGAGAAAAATGGTTTCCAGCTTCATCTATGTTCCTGCAAAGGACATGAACTCATCCATTTTTATGGCTGCATAGTATCCCATGGTGTAATTGTGCCACATTTTCTTTATCCAATCTATCCAAGTCTTTGCTATTGTGCATTTTAAAGATTTTAGCATTTAAAAGTTTTTAGCATAGGACCTGATACAAACCTAGTGGTCAACCTACATTACTAAGAAATGGACCTGAGATGGATAGTTTTATGTTCACCTTTGGAAAATGGCAAACCTATGAACTATTCCTAGAATGAAATTTGGATGTATGCCCCTGTGAACATCCAAGAATTTAAAAGTTGGCCATAGTTCTGCAGAGTTTAGACACATCTATGAGGGAGAGGTGCTGTGCACGTGGCTCCTAGGAGAGTGCATGAGGCCAAATGTAAAAGTCATGCATG